GATGTGAAAAGTAAAAAAAAAAAAAAAAAAAAGTCAGCCTTTTCCTCCCACTCTTACTCCCATAGTACAGAAATTTGCTATGCACATGCATATCTTTTTTGGTAAACAGAAGGCATCACATTTATCCACTATTAGCTCAAATGTTACAAATGTGTCCCAACAGTCATTGTAGTTTGTAACAGCTAAGTGATCGATTACAGAAAAGTTTTCAGACATGTGCTTTTGCAGCTCCAAATTTACTAGTTCGCAAACTAATTTATTGTCTATCATCCAATCGTTTAAGTAGCTTTTGTCTCAGGCAGAGCTTTTCATATGAAGCTCAGTAAAATTCAGTAAAAATATATTGTTCTGTGATAGAACAATGATGTTTTCCTACTCTCTAAGATATTTCACCTCTTATAGCAAGACTTCTTCATATTTGATAACACTCTGAAAAATAGTTTTGAGTAAGGAAAAGTTAAGTAGTGTACATTAAAATAAAGAACACATCCATCAAAAAACATATAAAAGAGGTGAAAAGACAAGCCACTGTGAAAAGACATTTGTAACGTACCACTGACCAGAACATTTAAAGAATGCTTACTCATCAGTTAAGAACACAACTCCAGTGGAAAACTAGCAAGAAACTTGAACAAAGAGGTACTAGGAAGTTGGAAACAGACCAAATGTCCACCAACAGAATGGATAAATATATTGTATTTTTACATCATGGAATGTTATACATTAAAATTAAAACATAAATTAAGGGCTAGATAGATGAGTACATAATTAAAAACACTGGCTGCTCTTGCAGAGGACCTGGGTTTGGTTCCCTGCATACACGTAGAGGCTAACAACCATTCTTAACTCCAATTATATGGGATCTGACACCCTCTTCTGGCCTCTGTGGGCATTGCACACATGGGTACATTTACACAATGCAGGCAAAACACTTATACACATAATAAATAATAAATAGATACATAAATAGGAGGGGAAAAGCCAGGCATGATGGCTGGTGTACACCTTTAATCCCAGCACTTGGGTGGCAGAGGCAGGCAGGTCTTTGTGAGATACAGGCCAGCCTGGTTGGTCTACATAGCAAGTTCCAGGACAGTTGGGGCTACAGAGCAACACTGTTTCAAAAAACTAAAACCAACCAAACAACAGCAACAAAACCCATGAATTATAGTCACATACAAGGACCTGGATAGATCTTAGCAAGACCATATTGAATAAACAGACTATCTATAGTATAGTATTCTTTTATTAATACCAGTCTCAGAATGCTCAAATAGCAATAAGTTGATTTGGGGTGTGGCTTTTTGTGGTACAACCCTAAAGAAGAGCAAGCAAATGAAATGAATAAAGTTGAGAACAGTGATTATCTATGAGGGGCAGATGAAGTTTATATTCAGGAAGGAGTTCATGAGGCTTCCATGGTCAGATTATTTTTTCTATACTGAATGCTGTTATATAAATATTCATTTTTATCATTCTTTACATGATATCTATAAAATTCTGTATACTTAAGATTTCAAACACAATTATATAAAACAAACATTAAATATAATATGGTAACAACATTTTATAATTTTAAGACATAAAAGTGATTTTATAAAATTATGTCTTTTCCTCCTCTGGGAGAGCCTCTAGATCTAGATTCCTCTAGATTATAATGCTCTACAGCATGAACAGAATAGCCAGCCCTCATCACAGAAGCACGTGGCTATTTCTGGAACAAAAGACTCCGTATAACTACATTTTAATTTAACAGATCAATTTTTTCTTTGACAGTATTCTTAAATGTTCTTTGATTTTCTGACTTCTTTCAAATGAGAATAGCATTTATGAATTCCTTATTAGAAGTTCTAAGCATTCTTTAATAATTTTTAACAAAACGTTTAGAAACTGCCCTTGTTAAATACGGGTGCTTTTTAAAGTAAGTGTTATTATTGATACATTATTAGATTTGCTGAGTAAAGCTGTTTCTGCAGACGAGCATCTCAGCCACCTGCAACTGTTTGTCATTGGACTTGCTTTGAGAACACTAGTAGTAATTGTAAACTTAGGAATGTGTGACAAGCCAACAGCCAGCTGTGCTTATCCTGACTTTTTCCAGGTGTTAAAATAAGTATGACCATTTGGTTCACTTGTAACTCAATAAAATATTTCATGATTCATTAGCTTTAAATCCATTTATAATTTTTTTGGAGCAGATAATGTTATATTTATTTAAAATGTAAAGTATATACCAGAAATATTTATGGTTTCATTACTTACCATATTTAATAATCTTTTCAATAAGTAAAAAGGATTGTGATTATAACACTGTTAAGAGACTTTTATATTATTTTCATAGAAAATATATGAATGTGGTACTTCTACCTATCAAAAGATTTTTTTAATGAAAAATTATTTTATTCAGTCAGAGTTCAACTTTCCTTGGTATAACTGAATTTTTAAGTTATCTTACATTACCAAGGTACCTATCTTTGAAACATGCTGAATGTTGATAATAGCCTATTAATAATTATAATTTGTTGAATGTCTGTTGTCAAAGTATTACTGCAAGAGACATGGATACCTAAATCTTGACTTAAACTACCAATTCCTGTAAGTTTCCTGAGATTGAAACTTACTGGGCAAGTACTCTACCATTAAGTTTTATCATCAATCCTTATTCTAGGGCATTTTCAAACCACTTTGGCATTTCATGACTGCGAGTGGGAAATACAAATTCGTTTTTAGTAAAGTCTCATATATCTGAATCTCCGAACACAGAGCTAGAGTTCACAGATAAACTGGAGTAGAATATGCAGCTTAAACAACCCTGCCCTCCCCCAAATAAATCAACTCAGGAACACTAAAACAGGTAGAACGAACTGAAAGAAAAATGTTAATAGGTCTCCCTTTGCCCCATCCATCACATGACTTATACTTTCTAATCTGTTAACTAGGATTAGGAACTCAAATTAAATTTTTATTTATTATTTGTTTATTTTTATTTTGTGTGTATGAGTGTTTTGCCTGCATGTATGTAAGTGTACCTGTGTTGTTCAAAGCCCACAGAGTCCAGAAGAGGGCATCAGATCCCCTGGAGCTGGAGTTATGAATGATTGTTAGCTGCCATGTGAGTGCTGGGTTTGTTCCTGCTTTTCCCAGAAAAGAGATAAATTATCATAAAGGGTCAGATTTCTGGTTATTGATTAAGCCTTCTTAACTTGTGGTAGAGATACACTGCTTTTGAAAAGGAGTACACTGATGTGGACAGTGTTCTTCTTGAATAAGACAAGCCATGTGGTTAGCAGAGGCTATTAAGAGCAGGGTATCTACTTCTTTCTACTTGCTTCCTTGTTATTTACTGCTGCTTTTTATAAAACCATACCAGACAGGCTTACAGAATTGCATTTTTGAAGTCAAATATGAGACTACTGGTTAATATAACTCCAGTAAAAAAATTATTGCTTCTTCCATTTTTCCATTTGAAAGAATACCTAGCATTCTTTCACTGCATTTTAAAAGTTGATACTATGGTTTTGCAGTCTTTGACTAATAGTCAAAAATGCTCAGAAACTGCCTCAGTAGGTTTCAGGGGCAGTTTATCATGTAAGATCTGTGGGATAGTCAAAGTACATTCTTTCTCCTCCTTCCTATCAATCCTTCATACCAGTTCCAACTTTATGGGATGGAGGGAGGAGCCTCTCAAGATTCTCCTGTCTCTATCCCCCAATGTTGAGATTAGAGGCCATGTAGCCATACCTGGCTTTTTGTATGGAGTCCTGGGATTCAAACCCAGGTCCTCATACTTGTAAAGTAAACAGTCTTTCTCCAGCCTCCAGTTTTTGTTTTTAATACTGAAAGGTGTATCATCCCAGTTCCAGGAATATAAAAGTCATATATAAACCTTATATATCAAAACCAGGTTAGAGTTTTGATTCAGTTTGTTTCAATCCCAGGCTTTTGATATGTTAAGGTGTTTTTTGATCTTAATAATTCAGGCTGTATTAGGGCATGTTTCATTTTGCAGTGCTGGGTTAAAACTCAAGACCATACTTGCTAGGCAAATACTCTACCATGAGTTATATCATCAACCCTTATTCTAGGGCATTTTAAAACCACTTTGGTACATAACAGATTCTCAGACTGATGGATAAACACAAATCTTGTCAAAGAGAAATTTTTTCAATTGATTGGAAACTATCAAACTGTATTAAAATGTATGAATATATTAAAGTGAGAGGCATTAAACAGGAAAGGCACTGTCTTTTCAACACTGTCATAAAAGAACTTGAGTAATGACAATACCAGAAAAAAATCACAAGTATTATTAGTATATAAAATTAATTCTCCCAAATGAAGTATAATCAACTGAAAAACTTTGAGATCTGACCAGATCCAAGCTAAATATACCTTAATCTGTTGTCTTTGGGACGAGAAGAGAGAGATTAAGTTTAGGTGATGAAAACTGACTTTTTTTTAAAAGAAGGAAAGGTTCATTTTGGCTCAGGATTTGAGGGAATGAAGCTCATTCATTGTAACAGGGAGGGCATGACAGTGAGGGGACGAGGCAGCTCCTGTCAATGTGTCTACAGTTATGAAACTAAAAGACAGTGCTGGTGCTTCCACAACTTCCTTCCCTCTTTTCATGTAGTCTAAGACCTTGGTCCACAGGATTGTGCTCTGCACATTCAGCTCCCTCCCCAGTTAAACTCTGAAAACAAGCATGCCCAGAGGTGTGTCTGTTAGATAATTCCAAATCCAGCCAGGTTGACAGTGAAGATTAACCAGTTCAAGTCTGCTCCTTGCCTGCTTAACAGTCACTTTGACCATAACACTCCACCCCTTGTCCTCAAAGGCTTAGGGTCATCTCATAACGCAAATTTCATTTAGTTCAACTGCTGGAGTTCCCAAAATCTTAACAATTCTAATGTTGCTCAAAAGCTGAAAGTTAAAGTCTCTTGTAAGACTCAAGGAAATCTCTTAACTGTGATCCTTGGTAAAATTAAAAATGAAGTTACACACTTACCTGGCACAGAGATGCCATGATCATGAGGGTGGTTTTCCCAGGGTGAGGTTTATCCTTTGTACTCCAGATGTCCTAACCCCTGCAATTTCCCCAAATGGGGGAAACACAACTACATAATTTGTGGTTAAGGGACTGTATTCACGTTTTCCCATTTGAAAAATTTACATATTTCCATTGTGCGTAGAGAATAAACATTCCCATTCCAAAAGGGAAAATAGGTGATGTTACAAGGAAGATATGGGTAAAGCAATTTGCAATCTCACAAGAAGGGCAAATACTAAATCCTGCAGCTCCACATCCAATGGTTGGGGTTCTTGCTTGGCAATATCTGTGTTCCAATATGCTTGGGCAGTCCCACCCACTCTTCCAGCTCTGCTGCCTACAACACACGCAGCCTCATCCTTGGGCTGGCTGTATTCCATGTGTGCAGCTTTCCTTAGAGGACCTTTCATGGTCCTGTCATTTCCAACATTCTGGGGTCTCCACTGAAAATAGCTTTCTCCTTCACAGTTTTATACAATGGCTTTTGATGGGATCCTTGCATAGAATCTAACCTGGGCACACATTGAATGGCTTTCTGAAACCTTGGTGCAAGGCCTTAATGGCCTCATGACTTTTGCATTGTGTATGCATGAAAAACCAGCACCATGTAGGCAACACTGCCAAGTTATGCTTAAGATGTAAACTGTTCTCTTTTACCACAGCTGTATTGGCCTCTGTTTGTCTTGGCACCTGGAGTTGAGAAAACACTTCTCTAGGTTGTTCTTTTCTAGTAGGGAACCCATACAGTGACATTCTCATATCAGACTCTCTCCTTTCAAATAAATATGCATTTTCACAAATTGGAGCCTTCAATGGATGGGTTTTTGTCCTCAAGTCACCTTTTCTATCATTCCAATACAGAGCAAAAGGTTTCTCTTTAATGGTTCTGATATCTTTAACAATTATAGCTGCTTTTTCTCTGATCACCTTGTCTATATCTTTAAACTTATTCATCCTCTTCATCAAACTACATTTTTAAAATATCTTTTTGCTCTTTCTCACTGAGGATCTAAGAACAGTGAGCAGTAACCATGCCACATCTTGGTTGCTATGCCATCTTGAAATTTCTTCCACTAAGTAACTTAGTCCTTTACTCTCTCTCTGTCTCTCTGTCTCTCTCTGTCTCTCTTCTCTCTGTCTCTCTGTCTCTCTGTCTCTCTGTCTCTCTGTCTCTCTGTC